TCGTCATGTTTGCACCAGTCGTATACCTTCGTCATCCACTCACGTCCCGTAATACCAAATCGGGTGCATGGGGAGCTAGCGAAATGACCCCGAGCGCACCATAAGCGTGGCGTCTAGTCATGAATTACTTGACATGTATGTCATGATTTCCACGTTAGTGTCTGCCTCTTATGTTCCCATGCAGTCATGTCATACCATACCAGTTTTAAATATGTCATGTGAACGAAAAGACAGCAAGCGCAGAATGACCATGAAATGTAAATTATGACATTCATACATGCACGTTACGACTTTCATGTTATGACTAGTCAGTTAAGTTTGTCATACAGCCATGCTATGCCATACCCATTTGGGTATCGATAGCATTTTAGAAACGGCCAGGAGAGCTAAAGGTCATAGGTGGATAGATAGATAGATAGATAGATAGATAGATAGATAGATAGATAGATAGATAGATAGATAGATAGATAGATAGATAGATAGATAGATACATAAAGACACGCTCAATGTCGCCGCAGTTCTCTAAGAAATGCTTCGTATTTAAAAACAAGTGAGTGAGATAGTCCTATAGTTCTCCTTTGAATTATTACACTAACTGGTCGTAATCACTGTCACAAACGACTGAAATTTTGCTCTCACCCGCTCGCCTCATCGTCCAAGGAAGGGCGCCTTTGTATTGGAAAGACGACATTCGGCGACTAACGACCCAGCAGAGCACCGCCGCGTCTTCCCTACACCTGTACCGAAAGGGGCACACATGTGTTCCGAGGAGAAACAAATGACCTCGAGAGGGTACGGGAGCACACGTACGCCACAATAATCTTTTCACTTCTTCGGAATCGGCAGTTGACGTGCAACCAGCGAGAAGCGCGGTAGTCGGTATCGCGAGTCTCGCGTAGGCGGCGAGAATGGAGTTCCCGCACAACGTATCGAGACGGCTGCAATACTGGGCACCCTCGTCGTCTACTAAGCTGGCGAGATCTTCAGCGGCACTCCGTTGGCTACCCTACGTGTACCACGAGCTGGCCTGCTACGTATGAAACTTTTTATTGTGACTTTTTTTCAACTGTTACTTTATTACACCCAGCTTTTCAGTAATTGTAGTTGTGTGCACTGCGTCACACGTAGAAATACAAAAGCGCAAGCATGATCTTTTTCTCGTAATTTGTTTTTGGATCTCCTTCAGTTTCATCATAATGTGGATTGTATTTATTGCAAATGTGATTTATTTATATGCATAGTGCACAAAATAATTAAGGCCACTGCGACAAGTGTACAACAGGCATTACAAAAGTTGGCAATGTCATGAAAAGAATTTCATTTGCTTGTAAATGCAGGAAAATCAAGCTTCAGGGTTGACGAACCCACATGTTCTGTGTGGAAACTTTACAATACAACAGCAGTTATATTGCGTGGTGCATGCGTACACTCCCATTGGGGGTCAAAACAGGTGATTATTACAACAAATTCATGGTTTAAGTGTGACCACACATTACAAAAAGCACTCACGTTACGACGCGTATTCAATCAAGATTACGTGGTGTCTGCATAGCAAGTTCGGAAACATTTCCCGCGCCTGAATACTCGAGGTTTACAGTATGCTACCTACTACCCAAAGTGTAACCATGTGCGAAAGCTTCACTTGCACAAGTCAGTTTGAATTTTTTCGATTACCGTATATTGCAGTAATCCACAGTTTATGCCTCACGAGTGACATCGTCAATAAAACGTATACACTAAGCGGTTGAATTACGCATAGGGATTGGATATTGCTATCGTGTTCAACTCTTAAAGGTGAAGCTTAAGGGTCCCCAGTTACGGTTCAATAGTGGAGAACACAGAGTTGACCTAGCGTGTTTGACAGTACAGCTGGAGATAACACCGTCGTAAATCCTGACTGCCAGAAAACGTAAAAAAGATTTGCGGAGCAAGGAAGCGCTAAAGAAAGAAGGGTGCATTCAAGAGTCGCTTGGTCCTCATTCATTCATTTATTCATACTGCTAGCCCTCATGACGCTCGTTACAGCGTGTAAAGTACTAGTGTGTTTAAGTCAAATTCGCTGCAAAAATCCAGGGTCACCTCGCAGGATTGATTACAAACAGCATCAAAAGTATACAAAAAAAGGTATACGAAAAAGTACAAAGAGCAGAATAAAGTGTATCGTGTTCAAAACACACAAATGCGTAGACAGCATCACGAGACAGTTTAAAGCAATAATGCAAATAAAAGCTATATGTAGCCACAAACCTATGTATAGAAAATCAGTTTTAGATTTCCTTCAAATGACGTTACGAGTAACACTTGATTATGGATTTCGGTAACACACTTTATTTGTCGATAGCGCTGGGAAAGTAACTGAATCTAAAGCAGTCATTACGAGAAGCAAGGGGCATTATGTATATACCATGTCTACTTTTTTATTTTTTATTTTATGCAATGGGTGCAATAACGTACTTTTAACACACTTCGCATATTCAGAAGCACGTGTGGCACTAAATACAAAGAAAACAGGGTTGATTCTTTTCTTAGGAATCGGTATAACACAAAAGTCCAATGTGTCCTGCTTTGTTTCGTGTCACGCATGAATCAAATGGTGCAAAGATATGCCTTCAGTCGTAATCGTCCTTGCTAGTAGGCTTGAGCTTGGTGTTAGTGCTCACCCGCATGTAAAACAAATATCTCGCCAAACTGGAGAGGGCATACAACAATTTTAACTGATCATCGGCCTGCAGTAAATCACGTCTGACCGGTCGAAAATTTCACAGTTTACATACATGTAGGTGCTTATACTAAATGGCCTGTAGCGAGAATATGCAGTGCGCGTGCAAAACTTCCTGTCAATTAAAGTGATATTGCTTTGACGCAGCTCAGTTTGAGCGTCAAGGAAAGATACTATGCAGTCAAGAAACTGAAAAAAAAAACAGACGGCAGTTTGAGCGCTCACACGGTCGTCTGTTTTTCCCCTTCTTCACTGCACAGTTTCTTTCCTTCACGCTCAAACTGAGCTGCACTAAAGCAATATCATTTTATCATGCACGAGCTCAGCCAGTCACCAGTACTTGTCGATTTCAAGTAAAGATTGCGTTCACTCGCAATTTTCATTTCTTTTTTTTGCATTAAAGATGGGAATGATAAAAAATATGCGAAACAATAGAACCTGGCTCGCGAGTGTGAAGTTTTATGGCCCTACAAGGCACGCCGGTTACGAGGTCGTTTGTATAGTCCTATTGCATCCAAGATGATCCCTCGGTCGAGGGCTTGTCAATGAGAAGGCGCTTCTGATACAGTAATGTTATCTATTATCAAGGCTACTTTTTAATTCAAGTTGCGACATCTACTTGTTGCCTGGACTTGCGACCATCGTTGTTGTCTCTAACAACTGCCCCGCCGCGGTGGTCTAGTGGCTAAGGTACTCGGCTGCTGACCCGCAGGTCGCGGGTTCCATCCTGGCTGCGGCGGCTGCATTTCCGATGGAGGCGGAAATGTTGTAGGCCCGTGTGCTCAGATTTGGGTGCACGTTAAAGAACCCCAGGTGGTTGAAATTTCCGGAGCCCTCCACTTCGGCGTTTCTCGTAACCATATGGTGGTTTTGGGACGTTAAACGCCACATATCAATCAAATCTGTAACAACTGAAATGTCAACCTGCTTAGCATGTAGATAATGGTCTTACTTGCGGTATAGAAAAAGGAAAAAAGGCAAGATACGCTTCAAAATGCGATGAGAAGACGGAATTGTAGAGCTTCGCGCACAGTCACGCGGACACTATCTCAACCTCATAGAGAGATTTTGCGACAGAAGGGCTCCTGAGTTTGTAATATTTTTATTCCCTCGAACAACAGTGACCAGACGAATTTACCAACATCATACATCATATCGGCTCCTGTACACGACGTGAAAGGAAACTTGACAGGTCGTGTGGCAGTGCTCTGATGACTCCGTTTTGACACGGTCATTCATGACTTCCATCAATCGTGAAAAACACAAATGGGCGATATACCGTTTGTCTGGTGGCAATAACGATCATTACTAGTGGTAGTAATGGTTATGACGTATAAGCTCTTTCATTCCTTGCTGCAGCAGGTGAGTAGCATAGTGTCTTGTACACCCAACCTTTACACACGTGAAACCTGTACCTGAGGTTTCATCATGAATGATCAACTTTGACCGTGTTCGAATGCTGATACCTTGGCGATTCCTGAGCTTCAATACATGCTTACGTAGCGAAAATCCCGAAGTGTTCTCAGAGCCAGAAATACAACGGCAGGCGTCATGCAACTACAAAAGCGATGAGGTTGTATTCAGTTACTTCTAGAAGAACATGACACACACACACAAAAGCCTTTCTTGAATTAGAAAAAAAAACGTGCAAAGTGGCGTATCATTTATGTAACACTGTTTCTCAACCCGTATTTTACTTCCTCACTATTGCTGACACACCAATGGTCAAATATGCTTTAGTACAGCATCTCGCATATGAAAACCCAGAACCACCATATATTTGGGAGACGCCATAGTGGAGGACTCCGGAAATTTTGACCTTCATGCGTTCTCTAACGAGTGCTGACATCGCACAGTACACGGGCCTTTCATGGCGTCACCATTGGCTCGTAAGTTGCGAATATATTATGCTAAGAGCGTCTTGTGCATACGAGCCGAGCTTTGTAGTTTAGGCTGGCGCTAATTGATCACTAAAAGACAGGCAGCTGCTTCTTGATTAGACGTATGCCTATTTTACGCGGTGAATCACTAGCACTCCGACCTGTTTTAAAACTTTGCATGTAACGATCTCTGTCAAGACTCTTCAGCGCTTCGCGATCGACGTTGAAAATACGAGTTCTCTGCCCACACAGGAGCAAGGATAGCAGACGTTGCCTCAGGGTGAACACTTTTTGTGGGGTTCTAATGTGCTTGTAGTTGGGTCAGAACGTCGGCGGCTAAAATCTTCTTTTTGAACTTCTCCAAGAGCGTAGCATCGACGCAACGCAGCGAGCGCACTTACCTGCAACGAGCAGAAGAAAGCACAATGTCGTCGCCTGGCCGACCATGATGCGTTCAGTTCAGTAGCAGCGTCGCACCTGCCGCCTCGATGTCTTATTTCTCTGTAGCCGTGTTCAGCTGCGGTTCGGGAGCGACTCCGAGAGAAACGCAATAACCCGAACGTCTTGGTCGTCACGCAAGTGTTTTCCAAGTGCGCCTCTTTATGGCCGCTAAAGCGGGATGCCTGTCACGCTTCCTAAAGGACTCATCAGTGTCAGCGCGCCTTCACACTTGCTGCGGGAGACGACCCAACGGAGTTGAGTAAAACTAAAGAGGTGTGGAGATAAGTACACAGTGTGAAAGCAGATTTTACGACTGCTGTGATTTCGTAAGCATTCGAATCAGTGCTTTAATGTTCCGCACCTTGACGTGTGCTATTTATCATAGTTACGCACGCAAAGAAATATTAAGCATCTAACCTTCGTTTTCAGCCCCTACGACAGTGAACAACAGCTATATCTTGCTGCCTTCCATTGAAACATGACTCCGTGGACTCCACAAACATCTTTAAATGCTTGGTAGCTTTTGACTCTGCCACTTGAACGACATGGTCATTGGTGTCAATCATTTCCGTTAAGGTGTTAAGAGTAAAATATAAGAAGAGAGTGAGATCTTTAAGCTTCGCCTTTCAGTGTTGAACTCGATATACTGTTCGTATTGTGCACTTTAACATTTTAGTGTATGCTTTTTTATCGTATGACATTACTCGAGAAGTTTAAATTGTCAATTACTATACAATGTAATCGATAAAGGGGAAAGTAGCTTCAATGAAGCTTTCGCAAATGGCTACCTTGTGTGTAATAGGTAGCATGCTTTCAACCATTAGCATTGATGCGTGTGAAATGCTTTCGGAAATTGTTCTGCACTGAATACGTGATTTTAAGGCTATACGCGTAGTCACAAGTCTGCCTTTTGTAATGGCTGTCCGACTTTAAGCCACGAGATCGTTATGGTAATCACGTGTTCTGACGCCCGATGACAATGCATGCTCGTACCACGCAATATAACTGCGACATCACATGTTGTATTCGGCAGCCCGTATACAACACGCGTGTGCTTGTAAAGCATGAATGTTACTTTCAGTGCATTTTCCAAGCAGAGCAAGTTAGTTCCAGTGTATTTTGAAGCGTTAATTCAGCGTTACTTTCAATGCATTTCCAAGCAGAGGAAGTTAGTTTCAGTGTATTTGGAAGCAGACACGTGGTTGCGTTGTAACAAACCTCCTTGCTACGCAAGCGGCCCTAGTTCAATGCTCACTCAAACCCGAAAACTTTTGGTTGCGTGGTAACAAACCTCCTTGCTACGCAAGCAGCCCTAGTTCAATGTTCACTCAAACCTGAAAACTCTTATGATATATTTGATTTGCACCTTTCTTGATTTTTTTTACCGGAGAAGATGCTGAGTTTTCAATCACAGCCAACAAGACGGACGTGCACGCCGGAAATCCCACAAAACAATTTGATTAACGCTATCGCATTAAGACATCTCCTTCGCTCATGTAATTGCGGCAGAAGAGAAAAGGAAGCTTACTGCCACTGCCCTCGCGCACAGTGCCAGACATTTTATAAACAGACAGACAAACAGGCAGACAGACAGACAGACACGACTCCGAATGCGTTATTTACCGGAGAAATCGGCACTTCTACCACTTAGGTTTTCATGATGCCCAAAAGCTTTTTTCGTGACATGCCCTATAAGCAAGTTGTGTCCGTCCTCCCCCCTACCAATACGGAGGGGATGAATGAACGAACGTTTTATTTCAGACAAACACAAATATTGTGTCCATTTGTCCTGTCTAGGAGGTGTGACAAAAAAGCATGAGTGCCTGACTGAGTGTCACATCCTGAGTGTCCTGAGTGTCACATCAAGAGGACATAATTTTTATTCGCCAAGGGGGAATAGTTAAGGGAGTCCTAATTAGGTTGAGTGGATAAAACTTTGTCTCATGGTTATTGTGGCTTGTGCCCAGAACTAGGCGACCAGGAATCTATCGCTTGAGGAACACCTTTCGAGGTTCTCAGCAATGGCTCTGGCCCGCTTGACGGCCCAGTCCTTGAGATCCTCGCATGGGAGGGCAGCTCGCAACTGCTAAGCGATGCACTCCGCTTCAGAGGGTTGATTGGTTCATTGGTCCTTAACCATTTCAGACGCCAACTAATAAGAACTGTCTGTAAAGGTGTGAGATCATTACAACATTACTTAAAGCCACTCAGTATTGTATTGCAACAAAAATAACGAGATAATTGTTGAATATATGTGTGTTATAGTAACGTAACTTGTTTTGATTACGTTGCAACTAAATATCTTTGTATCCTGAAGTCATTGATGCTTACTTTTGATTTAATTAGAATGCAATATCTGTATAAAAATACAGTGCAAATTCATTCTTGGAAGTGTCAATTGTGAGCAACAAAATGTTTTTGCTTTTCACATTGCTTGAAGGAAACGGCAGGTAGAAGACTGAGAAAAGTGTGACTCAGTGCTTTCAGAAAAGTGATCATATGCGTCAGCGCACCACAAAATGAGGTTAGACGAAGACAAATAACCATGCAGGAGGTTCAATTCATTTATTGTACGATATATCTTGCTCTTTTTAGCCTCTACTTGATGCAAATAACGAAAATTAGTGGTGCACACAAATGTGTACTTGGCGTCTAAAACGGGTTGAACTCCTGGGGCAGCTCACGACGGGTGATCGGCCGTGAAATGGATGATACCTTATCTTATAAGTAAAATCGTTTTGTGATCCCAATACGTTCTGATACTTATCTTCTGAAAAGGAATACATTATTGGACATTATAAAGCAGAATAAAAATTAGAATTAATAAAGGAAACGAAACAAAACAAAACACAACAAGATAATCGAGTTGAAAATAAAGTGAACTCATCTCTATGTTCACTCTTCGCTTCATTTTGTTTTCCTTCGCAAATCGCATACGGCTTTGCAAATGTTCCTGTGGCTAAAGTCCTTTTTGTTGATCCAATGAAAAAGACCACCAGAAGGGATGCATTTAAAGCCATTGTACGGTGAGGTTCTTTCAAGAGTGTTTTGCTTTGGTTTGCAAATAACCTACATGTTAAGAGTTAAGGATGGAGACATTCACTGTCGTTGGAGTGGGAGCATTAGGGGGACGGTATTTGACCAGACTTGTGTAGGAAAATTTTAAGGGGTGAGGAGGACTGAGCATTGTAGGTTTTAATTGAGATTTCCATCCTTCAGAGGAGCACAATAATTTTTTCCGAGAGTACTTAGGTTCAGGGAACTGAGGTGTTGCCAAGCGAGATTTTCCAAAGTTATCTGACGTGGCAAAATTTTCAAGTCGTGCCACGGCGATAAATGTTAGCTTCGGCAATACAAAAACTATTGTACCATTATTTGAGAGCACTTCAAGTGCATCTAAACATTCCTTGATGGTTCAACCTTTATGATCTGGTACCAGTACCTTAATTTGTAGAAAACAAAAGTGTTGTACAACAACTTCGAAAGAGAACAGTGCTTCGAGATAGGTGATAATGCACTAGAAATTGTAAAAGACTATGTCTACCTAGAACAGGTAATAACCGCGGAGCCCAACCACGAGAATCAAGTAACTAGAAGAATAAGAATGAAGTGGAGCACGTTTGGCAAGCACTTTTAAATCTTGTCAGGTAGATTGCTACTATCCCTCTAGAGGAAGGTATATAACAACTGCATCTTGCCGGTACTTAGCTACGCAGGAGAGACCGGGAGACTTATTACAAAGAGTGTTCAGTTCAAATTAGGGACCACGCAGCAAGAAATGGAAAGGAAAATAGTATGTGCAATCTTAAAACTCAAGAAAAGAGCAGAGTGGATCAGGGAACAAACGAAGGTTAAAGATATCATAGTTGAAATCAAGAAGAGTAAATGGAAATAGGCTGGGCATGTACTGCGTAGAGAGGATAATAGTGGGCAGTAAGTGTAAATAACTGGATTTTTGGAGAAGGCAAGCGGGTTAAGAGGAGACAGGAAGTTAGATGGTCAGATGAGATGAAGAAGTTTGTTGGTATGAAATGGCAGCAGCAAGCACAGAACCGAGATGACTGGAGGAATATGGGAGATGCCTTTGTCATGCAGTGAACGTAGCCAGGTTGACGACGATGATGATGATGATGATGATGATGATGATGATGATGACCCATACCACGCGAATGAGTCATATTTGTCTTGGGGCAAGGCGAAGGAACACTTTCAAAGTATTCGACATATTAGGTGCAGTTGATCAAAAATGCCCAGACAGGCAGTCCCTAAAAATGACAGCATGTGTTATAGATGAACGCGATTGCTATAGTTCTAAGACCAATGCAAGCAGTTCCGCTTGATAATGAGGTGTAAAACCGGATAAACAAACTGAGAAATACACATGAACCTTGAAGATGCAATTTCCACTCCTGATTTTTTTTTTTTTTTGCACAAGATGAAGCCTCAGTTTGTGGGATGCTGGGTCGACGAAGGGCGGATACGAACAGGAAAACAGAACTATTAAATGCGAAGCATTTCGTAGCGAACCTCAGTATATTTTAGCTTAGCGTATCTATCTATCTATCTATCTATCTATCTATCTATCTATCTATCTATCTATCTATCTATCTATCTATCTATCTATCTATCTATCTATCTATCTACCTTTCTATCTATCTATCTATCTATCTATCCAGCTATCTATCTAGCTAGCTAGCTAGCCGCTAACAACTTTTAACTCTCTTGGCCATTTTGATCATGGTATCGATACCAAACTTATTATGGCACAACATGACTGAATGAGAAACATAATTCACTAGTCATAACATGAAAATCATGGAATGTGTACCATGAATGTCATGATTTACATTTCATGGTACTGTTGCTCTTGCGGTGGTTTTGTTCGCATGACATGTTTCAGAACTGGTATGGTATGACATGATTGCATGGCGAACACAAGCGACAGACCCTAACATGATAATCAGGACATGCGTGTCATGTAGCAGCATGCCTACATGCCACGCTCATGATGCGCTGGCAGCCGTTTCGTTAGCGTCACATATACCAAATTTGGTAATACGCTACGTTTATAGATAGCGAAGGTATGCGACTAGTGCAAACGTGATAATCATGAGATACGTATCATGTAACAACACGACTACACGCT